TATGGGTCCAAGCCTATCTATATATATGCCTGTGATTTCCATCAAATACAGATGTTATTTTGGTAAATAGAATAGGCTTGAAACTCTTTTTTCTTATGGTTCTATGAAAGTGTCCATTGAGTGGGTTTCGTTTATACATTCAAGATTTGACCATTCAAGGATAAAGATTCAAAGTTTGAACATCATGGCAGGAGGTATTCTTCTTTCTGAATTTATTTTAATTCTCACATTTTAAACTATTTTAGTAGGTTAAAATATTTGCATTTGGAAAGATGGTTGAATTTTTTCGTAGTTGGATATGATCGTTGTGAAAGAAAAAGTGAAATAATTATAGATTTGATATGACATTTTATCATATTAACTATTTTATCCCCTTTTTTTAATAGATTTTATCCCAACAAGTGTATATATATATATATATAAACATTTACCAAACAAGGCCATTGACTTCTCACGATGTCATTTTAGAAGTGTGCCTGACCAGTTTTAGTTAAATCAACTTTCGACGGATGCATTTTGTTAGAAGTTTTATGTTTGGTTGAGAGAGTTGGAAAGAGATAAAAAAAGATTTAGAAAGGAAAAAGAAATTGCATGGGAATTAGGTGAATTGTAAATATTTTAATCATTAAACTCAATGAAAATGAAATTTTAGACATTTTATATATACCTACATTGAGTTTAATGAGTAACATTCTTTTTTTCCATTGATGTTACTTGAAAAAAAAAAAAAAAAAAAAACTAATGATTTAGATTGAAAATAAATCAAAAGAATAAAATTTAAATTGACAAAATTGCAAGTTTTTTTTATTTTGTTACTAGGCTAAAACCTTGATTTTTTTTCCCCTTGTAATTGTTCCTAAAAAATTATATATTCACATCATTTCACCAATTAATAATAATAAATTATAGGGAATAAGTGCAGTGCATATTTCGAAAAATTATTATAAATAAATAGTAAACTTTATAAATATTAATAATTAAAATTATAAATATTTTCATAAATCTATAATAAGTTTTTAAAATTACCACTGAATGGTAATTTTTTTTTCTAAATTATACATAAAATAGTGCGAATCCCATTATTCCAATGTAGCTACGTGTTCTAAAATAATTCTTATACATGTATATTTATTTTATATATATGATAATTTGTTCCTGCGCGATAATATTGTGTATCGTAATAACATTGAATTATTGTTGGAAAAATACTTGGGACTCCCTTTTTTTGGAGACCCCCACAACTTCTTTTAGATCTCAACCATTGATGTATGTACAGACTCACTCATGTATGTGTGGGGCTCACACCATCAATGGTTAAGATTCAAAAAAAGTTGTGGGGTCTCAAAAAAGGGGTCTTAATTATTGTTGTTATTGTTGTATTTAAAAATTAAAAAAAAAAGAAAAAGAAAAAGAAAAAAGATTCCAGTCCTTTGACTCATGAAAAGTTTCCCTCTTATAAATAACCCCAGCAGTGATTTAGACCACCTCAAACTTCAACCCCCACCACCCCCCACACACACGTGGCGGGTGGTGATTGGAGGAGAAGAAAAAAAAAAAAGAAAAGAAAAGAAAAGAAAAAAGTGACCAATAAAAAAAAAGGGGTCAAAGGGGGTCCAAATCTTTATTCTAAATAACCCCAAGCAAATCAGCAACTAGCAGGTGTCTTAACACCTCGTTTGAGAACATGTTATTTTAGTAATTTTTTAAATTTTTAGTTAAAATATGGAATAAAAAAAATTAGTATGTTTTGGGTGACTTTATGACTTTTTTACGAAAAAATATGCAAAAAGTAGAGATAAAATCGAATCTTTAACTTTTTGGTATAGATTTAGGCTTTTTAATTTTTTTAATAATTTTTTGACTTTTAGGCCAAAACAATTACTTGCCAAGCGAGGCTAAGTTAGGTCAGAGTCGGATGCATCGTCCATGACCACTAGGTTCTCATTTTCTTCCATTCCTATCTTTGTGTAAGACCTACTCATGTATGTCTTTAATTTGTGTTCTAAGCATTGATATAGATTGGCTTTTTAGTTTTTTTAAGTCTGAAACTAAAAAGTTTTATTTAAAATATTTTTTTTTGACTTTTTTTATTTTTATAAGAAAGAAAAATAATTATGATTTAGATGTGACATTTTATCTTATTGACTTTTTAGTCTATTTTATCTTTTTGTAACTATTTTAGCCCAAAAAGTTTATGTCAAACATAGCCTAAGTCTTCGTTTGGCATTGACTTTTTTAACCTCGTTTGGTTTGACTTTTTTTACTTTTAACTTTTATGAGAAAAAATATAATGATTATAGTTTGAATGTGATATTTTGTCTTATTAATTTATGTAATTAATTTTATCTTTTTGTACTTTTTTAACCAAAAATCAAATGCCAAACGAAGCTTAAATATGTTAGAAGGTTTGATTGGAGAAATGAAAAAAGAAACAGAAATAAAAAGAAAAGGACAAAGAATTGATAGAATTCCAATTCCAATTTCAATTTATGCTTGGTTAACTTGGAAAATGCAGAAAGAAGAGAGCCTGCCTAAGGAAATCCAAAAGACAAAAAGCAAAATTACATTTCCCTCTCACTTTCTCTTCCCTTGTGTTTTCCATTATAATCAAACAAAAAGTGAAATTTATTTTATTTTTTATTTCTATTTTTTTTATTAAATCCTCTAATCAAACACGGCCTAAACGAAAATTCCAAAACTGAGATATATACCACCTAGGCTAGGCCTCTAATTTAATTCAGCACCTACTCAACTGAGTAGTTTGCAGAAGAACAAATATTGAAAGAAATGCAAAACCATGCATGCATGGTTCCATATCTAACAGCACTTTTGCTCTCAAAAAAATAAAATAAAATTAAATTAAAAAAAAAACAGCACTTTATAATCGTTAAATGACCCATTTCCCGCCAAAATTACAGCGGTAAAAATTATACTAAGCAAGGATTGTGCAGTATATATATATATATATATATATTTTTTTTGCACATAAACCACAAAAACTAACAATATGCAGCCTGGTAATATGTCACCAAAGTATCACACCTCATAACTTGAGCTGAAGACCAAGTACTTAACCCATGTAATCAACAGAAACTAAAACGGGGAGGGCTGATATGCCATGAATTGTGACAGAAATAAACTTCCAGAGAAGATGACAGAATATTAGATAAATTAAAGAAAAGTTAGCAAGGGAAGTTGGATAACATTTACGACCAAAAAAAATATATATATATATTATATATTTTCAAAATTAAGTTCTGAAAACAAGGAGATGACTGAGGAGGTTCCCGGAAGGTGGTAATGATGGGGACTCGCTGAAGGTGGATGGATGTGGTGGGAGGTGGTCGCCAACAACCAGAGATGGGATTTTTTCATAGATTTATTAAATTTTGAAAACTGTTTCTATTTTTGAAAACGAAAATAGACATCAAACAATTTTTTGTTTTCAGATTCAAATTTTTGTGAACATAAATAAACATTGCCAAATGGCGGCAATTTCGTTTTAACCATAATCAACACCTGCATACTATTGAAACGAAAACCGTAGTAAAATTACATCATTTCATCTAAAAACAAATCTGGCATTAACAAATTATCCTAAGGTTGTCTTCTTGATTAGACTGATTTATGGATGGAAAGAAAAATGGAAGCGTGAAGGGAATGAAATAGAAACTTTTTTTTTCCCTTCTACAAATCTCTCTTATAATCCAAGATCCAAAGACAACCCAAAAGTGTAACAAGTACACAACGTCCACCAGCTGTATCAAACAAGAGTATCAAATATAACATATATCAAAATATCCTAATTTCGACACACAATTTATCTACATCAATTTGATGGCAACATGACTCACGTTTCATGACACGGTGGAAATTTTTCCCCATGTAGATTACAAGCTGTGTCCCTCCAGCATGCCTTTCAGATTTTTGACAGCACTTTCATAGTTTACAAAGCCCATGAACCAAAACTCATGATTGTCAACAGAGATTAATTGAATGTATTTTTCAGCTGGCTTGACTTTGCTTGTTGAATGATTAACTGCTTTCAGCTGATGCAATGGGATAACCACCTATTTATATGCACAGAGACAAAAAATGTGCTAAACAAAGTGAGCAATACTAAAAAAAATTGAAAAGGATATGAATGATTAATGACTATGAGGCTCAATTAGTTGTAACAAGATAAAACCTAGAGTTTATAACGTCATGGTGTGGACAGAAAAGGTGTCAGATGAGTAAAGCGTCAAGTACATTTGGAAATTTAAATTTTTAGAAATTATATCAATATTGGAGTATTAGTTAGGCTTTAATTATTTGGAAAACTTTTAATTAGGGTTTTTCTTGGATGTCCATAAATAGACCCATGTATTAGAGTTAGACAGCTTTGAATATTGAATTGAGAATATTGAGTACTGAGATTTAGGTTTCTTTTTCTTTTCTTGGGGTGTGGTTTGTTCTTTTCTTTTACAGTATTGTTCTTTTCCGACCGTCCTACATCACATGAAGCACGTGATGCCTCAAATATCCCTGTCAAATATTGCCCGAAGAACCACACCCTAGAAGGATGAAGTAATAAGCGAACCCAATTTATTAAGGACAACACGAGAGAAATTATGCGGCAAAGACAATATGATCAGGCATAATTTATATTAGTCCTACAATGAAAGTCTGCTCTCAGAAAGCCTATTCTAACAGGAGCTGAGAATGGCATTTGCTTAAACTTTCATGACTAACTAGTGGCTTCACGAAATTATCCCTAGGAACCCTCCTCAAAATCTCTTTCTGCAAGACTAGCTACACCTCCCCACTTATACTCCTTCTATTACCCTTTTCCCCAAATGGTTTTGCAACTCTCACCAAATACAAAGCAACCCTCTCTCTCTCACTGCATCCTTCTTCCCCAAACTCTACCACCACTAGACCCTCCCTCATCTGGTATCAGTTTGATGAGTCACAGCAGCAATGGTTTCAATTTGTCGAGCAGTCACAGCGTTGTCAATGTCAATTTGTAGACTCAACTCTCTCTGTCTCAAAATCAAGACCCAATTGATTTGGTTTGTGGATTCAAGACCACTCTGGCGATGGTCGACTTGCGTTGCTGACCATTGATTGAGGGTTGAGGTTTGGGTTTGGTTAGGGCTTGATGTAGGGGTTTGGGGGGTTGTGGTTCTTCAATGGAGTTTTGCTAGTAGCCTGTGAAACGCTCATGGGGGTAGCAATAATTAGAGATGGGTAGGGGCGTGGTGGTGTTGTGGTAGGGGTTGTTGGGTTTCGCTCTCTCCCTCTCTGCAAGCAGTGGCGGGTGGTGTGCGGGTTGTGGGATGGGGATGGTGGGTTGGCCGGTGGTTAATGGTAGGTGGATGTGGGTTGTTGACTTTTGATAGGGGTGGAGCGGATTGGGGAATGACAGAGAAGGGGTAGAGGACAGTGAATGAGGGGTGAGGTGCAGAGGGGGAAGGGTGGGGTGGGGTTGAGGGTTGGAGGAGTCAGTGGTGGGTGAGGGGAGAAGGGTTTGGATGAAGAGGAAGGAGATCAGGGTTAATAGGATAATTTTAATTTGATATTGGCGGGCATTTAGTTAATTTTACTTTTCCTGTCAACTTGGTTAAAAGAAAAACTCGGACACAAAGGAATATGTAATTTCCACAACTAAAGGGGCAATATGTAATTTCACTTAACCCCAAGGGGGCATTGGTAATTTGCCCATTAATAGCATTCTTGTCCTATTTCAAACACTTCACACCAAGGTTCTGAAAAGCAGTTGCGGTCACCGTAATGGTGGCAGTGGCGTGGTTGCGGTTGCGGGATGTAAAGGCCGTAACATAACGGTTGCAGTAATCGGAATCGTGAATTTTTTTATTTTTCGCACAATTTGAAAAAAACTTACCGATACGCACATTTTTTTTTTCATAATCATATTTATTGGGTTTTGGATTTTAAAATAAATATTGATCAATTTTTATAAATTTTTAAGTTTGATCTAATATATTTTATATTTTTAAATCACTATAAACTGAGTTTTTTACATTTTATTTTAATAATTATTGATTATATTATACAAAAAATCAATCATTAACTATTATATATAAGATAAACAATGACAAAAGTAAGAGAATAAATTAAAGCCTAAATATATATATATATATATATTAATCAAGACAAATAGATAATGACCACACTTATTATTATTATTATTAATATTATCAAACAATATATAGATAGACACACAAACAAAATGATTGAGTGATAGCAGTTGAATTGAATAACATAAGTCTTATAATTTCAACAAATTAATAGCATGTTCTTCATCTTCCCTCTTCTCTCTCTATCCCTCTTCCCCCATTTTCAACTTTTTTTTTTTTTTGAAAGAAGCAATTCGGAACCATTACGTAACGGTGCGTAACAGGCCGTTAGGGCCGTTACGGCACCATTACGATTGCTATAGCAGTCGCTACGGCCGACATACCTGTGAATTTCAATCACACTGCAAAAGTGGCCGTAACAGATGGCAGTAACTACCACAACCGTTACGTAACGGCGTTACGTAACGGTTGCGGCGACTTTTTAAAACCTTGCTTCACACTAAAACTGAGACTTGGCAGGAATGGACTTTGAACATGGAAAAAGGAAAGGAAACTAGTTTTCTTAAGAGCTCAAAATAATCTTCCTAAAAAACTGCTTTCTTAGATTTCTTCCATCAATTCAAACTAACCTACACTGTCTACTGCAGATAAAAAGTAACTATTAACAAAGAACTACAAGCCTCTTCCACAGAGTTTAACCATTTAGGGTTCTCCTCAGCCCTGACGCTGCACTCAACTGTCCTTCACAAACGAGCATTTTATTGTCTACCTTGATGGCTATTAGACTGATAATAGAGCACTGTTCACATTCAAATTCATTGCAACTAACGAGCACAATGACACACCAATTTGAGGAAACTTTAGTTACAGGTGTATCTCTACATACCAAGCCTTAATACTTAACTAGGTTTCCACTAAGAGTTTTTATATGTCCCAAGATGAAGTCACAAAACTTCATTAATTCATTTCTTTTATTTATTTGATTTGGTACTTCTATTCATACATCACCCAAAGAAATGCCTCACACAGTTAATCACAGCCCTACTTCAAAGTTGGCTCATATTCTCCTCTCATCAAAATACTGCACAACCAAATCCAAAACACAAAGTTGGAAATAGCAAATCTTCTCCTTCCAAAGAAAATAACTCTCCATGATCACTCTAGTGATAATGAGCAACCTGGCTTGCCCATGACCACTTTAAAACAAGCTTAGAAGCATCAACTTCTATTTCTTTGCATTGTGCGGCACAACAGCAGTCACCATGTTTTTCTAAGTCTAATCTAATACTACTAAGACACATCTTCCTAGCAACTCAAAATGCATCTGATACAACTTACTTCACCCCAAATGCTCTGGGAAAATTTGAACATTAAAATCCGGATGCTAAGAGATAATATCTGGATTTTGATTCTAAGATTATAAAGTATAAACTGACATGAGCTACTCACACTTTGACGATGAAAATACCTAGTGGATTGATATCCCCGCCATCACCAAACGATTAATTGAACCGAACCAAACCAAGCCTTGTGTCCCAATCAATTGGAAGTATCCCAATCAACCGAACCACCAAAATGACGGAAAAAAGAAAACATGGGAAACAAGTTCTCATCCACTCCATTCACAGAATTTCTGGCATATATTTCAATATAACTTAACTTGCTAATCAATACACTTCATGACAGCATCCTACATGCACAGAGGCCCCAAAACCTGATCAAGAGTTCTGCCATGTTGGCAATTAGCAGAAATCTTTCCTCAAATCTATTCCTGGTTTATTTGGTTGAGTCGAGTTCAACTAGGCTGCTATAAATAAACAACACAAAATAGAGTGACAGGAAAAATCACTCTAGCTGACCCCCATATGTCGAATCATGTTAGATGATGAGGATTCTTCAAATAATTCCTTCACTAAGACATAAATAAACAGGATAATACAAATCAGTATACCTTATAATAGCTCCATTGGGTCTGATCACCAACTTTGTAGGAAAGAGGATTGTCACTGCAAAATGCTAGTTTTGCAGTAGACACATATAGTGTTCCCATAACTGGACCCGCAGAAGTGGATAGGTAGCAGGCATATGAATTTAACAGTTTCTCCTCAGGAACAGTCTCAAATGTTTGTCGAAAGACCTTCTCATACCCACCTTCTGCAAGAACTTTTGTTCCTTGAGCAATTCTTCCAACAGCAGCATCAGCAAAACTGGGACCCGTTTTCACTGTTTCAAATTAACAAGGAAGTCAAAGTAATTTGGCATGGAAAAATATTTAATAATGATCAGATTGGTTAAAGCATTATTTAAATTTCTGCAAAGTATTAATAATAATAGCACTATAACTGGAAAAAATGAATAAAATGAGCACTGAAGAACAGCATAAACAGTGACAAGAAAATGAAAAAAACTAGAGATCAAAATGCCCACATGGATAAGGAAAAGAAAAAATTGTAACCTCTGATAGAAGGATCAACTTTTAAATATAACTTGTAAATCCCCTATTATAAATTTTGAAATTCTACATAAGCAAGAAGTAACAGCTAGCCAAAATGGGTTCAGGTTGAAAAAAAACAAATAAAAGAAAACAAAAAAACAACAAAACCTACAATTAATTTTTTATTGGAGATTTATGAAGCATGGACACGTCAAATTTGATGCCATGGCAGTGTCGGACACGGCGACATGCCGGGGACACGTACGGGACACGCCAGTTGGCATGTCCTTTTAATTTAATTTTTTTTTTTGCAGAAGACACGGCGGAGACACGGCGGAGACACGCGTGTCCACCAAATCTGGACACGCGTGTCCAAATCTGGACAAACGGAAGAGAAGACGAAGAGTAAAGGAGAAGAGAAAGAAACCTGGTCGGTGAGAGGATCCTGATCGGCGACTTTGAACTAGTCAACTTCGATGACCTAGAAAAAAAATCGACTTCGATGACCTTTGAACCAGTCAAACCAATCGACTTCGATGACCTTCGAACCAGTCTAGTGTTTTTTAAGGCGAAAAGCAAACCGAGGCGACAAGGTCACCTAACGCCTAAGCGCAAGGCGACGAGGCGAGGCGAGGGCTTCATCAAAGCGAGGCGACCAGAAATGATATTTTTTTAAAATAAATGGTATAGACAAAAATATAAATATTTTCAAGAACCATCATGCAGTTATCATTCCAAATACTAAATATCCATAAACAAAAGAAAATATCCAACAAAGACAAATACAATTCACCAATCCAAAAGTTCTAAAAATCATCCTCAACATCAAGCAAATGAACTTCTTCTTCATTATCATTGGCTTCAGCATATCCCTCTGCATCTTCTTCCTCTCCCCCATCTGAAATTGACTCTTCCTCATCAATAAGTTGCAATTTAGGTCTAGCTGCTGATTTTGAAGTTGAACAACCCCTTTCTATTGCCCTTGTTGATCTAGTTCTTTAACTACTTTCCTCAACTCCAGCAGCTCTAGCAACATCATCCCATGTCAAAGTATCATCATCAAAGAGAAGTTCCTCCTCCATCCTCCCAACCAACCACTCGTTACTTTCATCAATATCCGTCAAAGCAATGGGATCAATAGTGTCACGGGAATTATATCGACGTCTCAATGCTCTATTATACTTAACAAATACCAAATCATTCAAGCGTTTTTGAGCTAACCTATTTCTCTTTTTGGTGTGAATCTGCAAAAATTCAAACCAAATAAAAATATTCAAATTTTTATCTAGGTATTAATAAATTTAATGGTATTCATATTCACTATAGTTAAAAATAGGTACTCACATGTTCAAACACACTCCAATTCCGCTCACATCCAGATGAGCTACAAGTTAGACTAAGAATTTTGATGGCGAATGTTTGCAAATTTGGCGTTTCAGAACCATATGCACTCCACCAATCAGTTGTTGATTATAACTAATTACTTAGAAAGAATATTTAAAATATAAAAAACTAACTAAAATTACTTAAGTATAAAATATAGATCACCTGGTGCCCTTGTAGTTCTTTGTCTAATGGCCAAAGCCATCCCAAAGAGACCATCAGCTTTCTTATAGGTAGTCAACTCTGCGCAAACTTTATCTTGTGTCTTATTGCATGGGACCAACCTTTGCATGCATTTATACAGGCCTGACATGACTTCCTTATCTTTATCAATATTCGGATTTGCGTAAAAATACTCTGGGTTTAAATAATACCCAGCTGCATGCAAAGGCCTATGCAATTGAACATTCCATCTATTGTCAATTATTTCAAAAAACTCCTTGTACTTCTCTTCATTTCCATTAAATGATTTTGCAATGGCTTCTTTAGCCCTATCCATTGCCTCATAAATATATCCCATGGGAGGCTTTCTCTCACCATCAACCAATCGCAGTACACGAACAAGAGGACTTGATATTTTGAGAGCATAAAGAACATTGTTCCAAAAAGAAGGCATCAATATGACTTGTGCGGTCTTTTACCCTGTGGTTCCTTCGCCCATTTGCTTGTGGTCCATTCCTCTGAAGTGAACATCTTCTTCAAGTTGGTTTGTTGTTGATGAATCCTTGATAAAGTTAAGTTTTTGATGGCTTGATGAGTTTTTGCTGGCTTGATCAAATCCTTGACATAACGATTGCGGCTGTTATGTAATGGTTGTGGTGGTAGGCGTTACCCGTTACACCCAAAGTGTTTAAAGGCGAATGCGTAGCTCGAGGCATTTTACCCTTCATGAGGCGAGGCGTAAGCCTCAAGGCGTTGAGGCGTAAGCATTTCAAATTTCAAATTTTAATATTTAGTGAATAAATTAAATATTTTAAAATAGTAAAAAAAATAAAAACAATTAATTATAAAGGTGTAAATACTTTTCCCCCTAAGGTTTTGAACATTCTACTACATAAAAAGAAGCTTTCCTTCACTAAAAGTGATTGATTTTCTTGACTTTAGTGATTGAGCTTCTCACTTGACCATTAACTGTGCTTTTTTTTTTTTTTGATTGATCATTTACTTAATTTTCCCTATAGAATATAGTTGCAAAAAAGGTTTCTTTTTATTATTTTTTTTATGTTCAAACAATCTAATAGACTAAGTTTAACAAAAGCCCAAGGCAACCTCTGCATGTGCGTACTCCTCACATGCTTATGCACAAAAAGCGTACAAAGCGCACTTAAGGCACATGTCTCAAACTGTGATGCGCAAGCCTTTGGGGAGTAATGCCTAAGAATCAAAACCTTGATGCGTTTTACCTTAGTCTCGAGGCGAGGCGAGCATCAAGGCGAGTCTCAGGAAAGCCTTTTAAAACTCTGTTCAAATGTCTTGTTAAAGTTGGGAATTTTGAAAATGTCCTCCAACATCAAGTCCAAGCAATGACAAGTCCAAGCAATGAGCTGCACATGGTGTCCAATACAAATGTGGCCGCTTTGCCTCCAAAAACTTCCCTATTACAAGTTTTTTTTTTAAAAAAAAAAGAATAATATGAGAATTGCATATTCATATTATAAGTAAGTACTAAGTAAATGTATACTACTAAGTTACTAACCGGCCAACACATTTGCTGAGGCACTATCTGTAACAACTTGAATCACGTTGGTTTCACCAATTCGCTCCACAAAGTTGTCAAGCAATTCAAATATCTTATTTGCATCCTTGGATAAGCTAGAAGCATCAACAGATTCAATAAACATTGATCCTCTTGGGCAATTAACCAAAAAATTAATTAATGCTCTGTTTCTTTTGTCCTTCCACCCATCGGCCATTAAAGAGCATCCATATGTTACCCAATCTTTTTTATGATCTTCCATGGTCTTATTAGTGTGGTCTACCTCTTTCTACAAATAAGGAACCCGTACCTCATGGTAGCTTGGTGGTTTCATGCCAGGACCATATTGCCCAAAAGCTTCAACCATTGGCCCAAAACTATTGTAGTTCACAACATTGAAAGGTATACCTGTATCATACATCCACCTTGAAAACCAAACAAGAGCCCGATCTCTCAACACCTTCTTGCTAGTATCATTATCATCAATTCTTGTTTGCTTTCCCTTGGCTTTCCGATTTTGCACCGCAACTTCCGGATCAAGGGTGAAGTACACATCCATGGGTCCCTTTTGCTTTGGTTGTTTGGAACCAACAGATTTGGAGGAGTTATTTCCTTGTTCTCGACGGGTAGAACCTTGAGTAGAAACAGGCCTTTTACCATGTTGATTTATCTCAAGAATTTCATCATCATCATCGTCATCATTATCCATCTCATCAAAATCAAGAACCATCATCAATTGCACCTTTGATTGACTTTTTTGAGACATATAGTCTTTAATTTCATCTTTGACATGAAATGGACATTTTTTACAAGCAACAACATTTTTATAACCACCAGCAAGATGTTGCTTGACTCGGTAAACACCGCCATTCATTTCTGTGTCGCAAAAGTTACAAATGAACTTTGAAAGGTTTTGGAGATTTACCATCCGTGCATATTGCCATGCCGGATCTTTTTTACTTTCACTCGACTTTGACATTAATTCTATCCAACAAGCAATTCAATATTTCAGCATAAAGAAATTAAAGAACATATTTTAACAACATTAAAGAACATAAAGAAATTAAAATAGTTGAAATTAATTGAATTAAAATAATTAATTGAATAACCAGGAAATTAAAATAATCAGGAAATTAATTGAATTAAAATAATTAATTGAATAACCAGGAAATTAAAATAATCAGGAAATTAATTGAATTGAATTAAAATAAACAAATTAATTGAATTAATTGAATTAAAATAATTAATTGAATAACCAGGAAATTAAAATAATCAGAAAATTAATTGAATTAATTGAATTAATTGAACACAGAAGAAAAAAAAAATTGAATTAATTGAAAAAAAATTAATTTTAAAATAATTGAATTAATTTTAAAAATTAATTTTTGTGAATTAAAAATTAATTTTTGAGAATTCAAAATTAATTTTTTAAAAAAATTGATTTGAACAAAGAAGAAAATTAACCACGAAAAATTGAATTAATTAAAAAAATTAATTGGTTCGATCGACAGTGTTCTTCAAGGCCAAGTCGAACAAAGATGAAGAACAGTCGACCAAGACGAACAGGAAAGTCGAACAAACAAAGGAAGAACCAGATGAAGAAGGCTCACCTCGATTCGATTCGACTTCGACTTCAGCAGACGCAGACGCAGACGCAGACGCAGACGCAGACGCAGACGCAGACGATCGACGAACCAGATGAAGAAGAAAGGAAGAAGACCAGAAGAAGAGATTCGACTTCGGCAGACGATCGACGAACCAAGTCGATCTAGGGTTTGGCTTCTTATTTACTAATTAACTTTGTCGATCAAGGGCCCAGATGATTCGAACGAAGTCGAATCAAGGGCCCAGATGACTCCAACTTAAATCAGGCAAAATACGATGAAGCGTGGCTTCTTTCCGCCTTACGCTTCATCGCCTAAGCCTCGCTTCAGGCGCTTCTACATCGCCTCGCCATTTCGCCTCGCCTCAGTACACATGAAGCGCTGAAGCCTCGCCTCGCCTCGCTTAGCACTTAGGCGAGCGCTTAGGCTCGCCTCTGATAACACTGAACCAGTCGATGTTTCAATTTTCAAAGCTCTTTTCAACAACTTATCTTTCAAAATACAACTGAAAACTCTTTTCAAAAACTAAACCAAACAGAGCCTAAAGTTTCAAACATGATAATTTCTCCATGGATGCACACATATAACAATGAACAAGCAACAAAAATAATAAGAAATCAAGGGGAAATTTGATTGAAACTCTGAAACAAATACAAACAAGACAGATATACAATGATGAGCACCATACTTTGAAGAACATGAAGGCCAACATACCACAACTTCCTAAAACCTAACTATTCTAGTGTATATTTCAGAATTAATGGAATGAAAATTGACACAGAAAAGTAAAGCAATGGTTTTAAAATGCTAGTAAAATCCGGAAAGTTTAGAATCTGACCTGTCCTCCTGACATATGGGAAACTAACCAGCATCGGTGATTCCACGCACGATAATTCATTTTTGATTTCTGCAGAGAAAAAAGAGAACGAGATTAATAAAAGAGCCTTTCTTTTGGCCCTTTTGAAGCCACAATGAGCCTACTCTAATTGCATCCTGTATGTGTTGCATTAGTCAATTTGACATGAACTAGGACCATGCATGTTGGCTAACTAGTTTATTGTTTTGGCACGGAGTACGATGTAAGTATTTGTGCTTTAGCATCCTCGCATGCGTGTGAATGCTATCATGACAGCATGCTTACCATGTGGCTAGATGCTTATGTGATAAACTGTTTGAATGCCTGTGGGTGAAGGTTGGATTGTCTGAGTTGGAAACACTCGTTGAAATCCGTGTTTTAGCCTACTTGCGGGTAGCAAATTCCGAAGTTTTTTCAAAACAAACGGATATGCAATACTTATTTCCAAATTAGGCAATCTAGTCTATACTTATTTGTCATGCGCATAACATAGTAATTCTAGGCTAATAACTGGAACAAGAACACATAACGTTTTCAAAAACGGATATCACGGTTAGTAGAGGCCGATCTTCGGATCGGGCGAGAGGGGGTGCTCATAGCTGACCTTCCCCAATCGTACCTAAGCTCCCGAGCCGAGGCAACTTTGGTGATGACGGACACGTGGCCTTTGGCACCGAGTCAAGGTTTCCAAAATTCTCCATAAAAATATTTAGGTGGCGACTCTGTATTTGGCAAAGCAGTCCATGTTTGGCACTCCTTTTTCTAAAAATCTGTTTTCTCAAAACGATTTGCCAGATTTGGACTCTTTGGTTCAGATTAAGAACCGTGACACAAATCGAGTCTGAACTGTAGTAAGGCCCATGGGCGCGTCTACAGTTTCTGGCGACTCTGCTGGGGATTTTAGAGAGCTTGACTCGAACTCGTGATATCCTATTTTGATTCCATTTATGTGTCTCTTTGCATTGCATGTGCATTGGTGTGCCTAAGACACAGTGTTTGCCATCTGCCATTCCTGAACGGTTTGATGAAGGCTTGTCTTGTCAAGACATGACCATAAGGCTGACCGGTTATGGGCTCTGACAGTATGGGAACACAAACCCCGATTTTTACCAGGGCACCCTTTTCGACCATTCGACCTAGTGCATGTTCGAAATCCATAGTGACCATTCCAAACTAGGGCAGGTTACTTACCCGATGTTAGGTTGTTTGAAAACTGCTGCGTGCATAGTGAAGCCCTAGCTCCTGACAAAATAGGGGTGTTTTGACTCTCTTTACTTGCTATGTGCTTTTAGAGTGTATCTCTACAGGGAACGTACATATCAGTTTGCAAGTTTGAGTATTAGACTTGAGGGCATCAGTGCCAGTTTATGAGAATCAGTTATCTGCGGGTATCAAGTTCAGTTTTGGGAACAGTGATTTGAGAACAATGATCAGTATCGAGGAACAGTGTGTTCGGCTTACAGACTATGTATTATGGATACCCAACTGTGTATTATATGTTTATTTTATGCCGTTGTGCTGTCTGGTTGTTGGTTTATTTACTGCTTTATTTATCTTTTTGCTAGGTAGTTTAGCATCATTGC